TTCTACGGATGGTAAAAACATAGGATTTGTTAAAAGACAGGAATTGATTAGTGAAAGTAAGGAAATAGAAATGATTGGTCATCTTCACGATGACATTTTCAACCAAGATAAATTTTTAATTAATGGTATTAAAATGAGTGTTAAATTGGTTCAATCAAGAGAGAGCTTTAATTTAATTGCTGGGTCAAACGATGTAAAGTTTAAAGTTTGCATTACGGACGCAACTCTTATTGTTCGACGAGCACGAATTAATCCAAGTGTATTACTCGCACATCAAAAAGTTTTAGCTTCTACCACTGCTAAATATCTTATTACTCGAGCTGAAGTAAAAGTTTTAACAATTCCATCGGGTGTTCAAGGAAAAACTCTTGATAATATATTTTTAGGGCAGGTACCCAAAAGATGTATAATTGGATTTGTGAACAATTCTGCATTTAATGGTTCCCTTACTAAAAATCCATTTAACTTTGAAAACTATGGTATTAATTCTTTCAGCTTATATATTGATGGTCAACAAATACCTTCAAAAGCTTTGCAACCATCTTTTAATAATAGTATATTTACTCAGCATATCATACTCTATTCTCGGGAACTGGTATTCACTTTCTTAATGAAGGAAATGGAATCTCTTGTGAACAGTATGCCAAAGGTTACTGTCTATTAGCATTTGACTTAACTCCTGATTTATCAGCCAACTCATCAGCTCATTAGAATCTCATAAAGCATGGTAGTGTAAGATTAGAAGTACGATTTGAATCCTCAGTAATACAAACAATTAACTGTATAGTTTATGCTGAGTTTGATAATATTATTGAGATAGATAAAAACAAAAATGTTACTGTAGACTATAGTAGCTAAGGTTATAATATGTGTTGTGTGTTAGATTTTATGAGTTATGTGTAACTATGTGAAACGTTATAAAATTAAATAAAACAAATTGTACGCAATATATTATTTTTTATTTCTTTATAAATATTCTATTTAATCTAATACAAAACTCTGTTCGAGTTTAAATTTTACATAAGCGCACTGACTAAACCACTGAACATGCTGCTGCCAAGGATCATCATCATCTTCCCAATCTTTTAAACTACCACCACAATGGAAACACTTGTGAAGCCGGTTTCTTTTACACTGGCCATGCAGACAGGACCTGCATGGCCAGTGTAAAAGAAACCGGCTTCTGCAAGATCATCAGGTTTATAACGCATAACGAGAGGCCAGTTTTCGAAACTGAGCAACCGGCTAGATTGTGAACTGAAGAATGGATATTTAGCTCTTTAGTACTGCATATTCTTCTCGTTTTCTTCTCCACTCAGTGTTGTAGTATTGTTATTCAATCATGTCTTCTGTACACGTATGCCACACTCATCTCTTCCTTGTGCTCTTGTCTTCCTGTAATTTAAGTAAACAGAATCACATTCACTAATGATCAGCTAATGACTGTCATTGTTAAAAAAGTATTTTTAACTTTTTCACTTTCTGCTATTGTCTTTGTAATATCGTATACGAGGGCGTTTGTGTTATCGTAGATGCTATCCTTATTAGTCTTTACGTAATATTTAATCCTCGTGGAAGCATGTTTCCAATGATCAGTAGTTGGAATCTTGGATAGCTTCTACATATCGTACATTTCAATTTTGATGAGATGCATCGCTTGGTCTCTGTCGTCAGAATTAGTAGAAATGTATGATACACCATCTCTAGCGGCTCGTGCTACGGTTGATGATAACAGCTTCATCTTTTTTATTTTTGATTCAGCTTCAAAAAAATGATCAATCGATTGCGATTTTCTTTTTCCACCATCGCATGTGTTATTATTAATGACGATGTCATCACTCTCTTCTTGAGGGGAGAGTGGCGAGTAGTAATACTGTTTATAGGTATTTTCATCGAAGCTCAATGATTTCTGCAACAACACAGTTATCATATTAATATCAATTTGTTAACACTTAATCATAAAAGTTAAAAAAGTTAAAGTTACAGCCTATTAAAGTCCACTACTGTACATAGGCCCCCTCTCATTTCTGAGAGGGTTTTAGGGCTAGGAAATGTTCGCCGCGCTGCCTCAATGCGTGTTGGCAAACTACACATGCCTTCGAAATTTTCTCAGACATGCAGGTTTCCTCACGATGTTTTCCTTCACCGCTGAGCACGTGGTAAATCAGCACTTAAAATTGCAATTAACAATTTAATTGGTGCCGGCGGGGATCGAACCCATGTCGCGTACTGTGAAATTTACAGTTTGCGCTAACCATCTGAGCTACCACGCCTCTTCAAACATTGAAACATTGTCAACATTAAATCAACTCCTTTGACTGATATTATCATATGACACATAAATGTTATGATAATACTATCTGTGCCCGTGACTTCGTTCATCAACACTTACATCCATGGCTTTGATGTGTTGAAGTAACACAAATGTAGTATTGATAGATCCACTGCGGTCAAACGACCATACACTAACTCCATGACTGCAGTTGCTTGGTCTTATATAGTACCAGTAAGTAATAATTCTAATCTAAAGAATTTCTGCAGTGGAATTGATAGTAACTTTAAGCGTCAACAAGCTTATCTCTCATTCCGTTGCTTATCTCAGCATTCCTTCGTCCTTCGTGTTGTGTCTTGTTCAGTGTATTGATGACTCAAATACGTTTTGTATAACACAAAAGAATGCAATTTAATATTTAGAAATCACTATAATTGAACATTCCTATGTTAGTCATTGAGTAGATTGGTACTGTAATAATCTACTAATAGCAGTAATATTATGGATACACTAGATGTACAACAACATCTGAAAAAGATTCACTCCACTCTAGAAAATAATGTTTATGCTGCCAATAGACTGCCCATGTACACCCACGTACCAACGTATATAATATGCAATTTGGATACAGATGATAAACCAGGGTCACATTGGGTAGCTTTATATATCGATACGAATGACGTCGGTCAATATTTTGATTCATATGGACGAGCACCTGTACGATATCATCTAGAGTTTTTAAAAAGAAATTGTAAAAGATGGAACTGGAATGTTGATAGGATTCAGAATGAGTGGACTTCAGTTTGTGGCGAATATTGCTTAATGTATTTGCTATATAAGTTTCAGGGATGTTCAATGCATATTTTTACGAGTATATTTACAGGTAACACATTGTACAACGATATTTTAGTGGATGAGATGTTTCGCTCCTATTTTATAGATAATAAGTAATAAGATTTTGTATTTTGTAAATAAAAATTTTAACAAAATTAGGTAATGTGTTTTATTGATGTTTCAGATTAGTGTTGTAGATAGGAACAAAGGAGTATAATACAATAGCACTGATAACGCTGAGGAAGAATAGATAATGACGGTATTCAATGAACAATAGATAAATAGATAAGAACAATGGTCTGCTAATGACGGTGGAGGCCCTCACCGGATATCAATTAGATGAGTTAATTGATCTGCACATCTGCACACCGGAACCGTGCATCCTGCGCAAAAATGGACCGCAGATTCGTGATCAGAGCATGCCAAAACCTTTTCTTTTTTTTTTTTTTAAGGATCGTGAGTCGACGAACGTTGTACTTGTACCACTTCTGACTCAGTGAGCCAGAACTGGTACTAACTAACTACTAATGTGTAGTATAAATATTAACGAAGAAATATTGATTATTTATACAACAGTAAAATAACGCAGGAAATAATTTAAGATTTGTCAAACTAAGCGCTATCTTAATTAATATCACATAAGGTGTAAGGTACAAATAAAACATGCACCGAGCAGCTATTAAACCAAGCGACAACAGAACAACAACGTGTACCATCAGTGATAAAATAAGTAAATAGAATAAACTTAACGTATCAGTGTTTCCCAAACTTTTTTCACAAATTGATATAGAAAGGAACAAATTTCTATTCAGAAAATCTTCTTTAAATCTGCTTCCGTTTTTATTGCATATGTAGGAGATGTCGCGTTCTTTTCATTATTATTGTATTCATTAGAATTGTACAGTTTTTTTACCCATATATAAGAAATTTTTTTTTTCATATATATGGGTTTTCCCTAGCAAGAGCTTTTGACTTATTAAGTAGCTGTTTATTCTCAAACGTAAGGTGGTCATTGATGAAAATCCTGCTATCACTTCTCAATCCTAAATCCGCAGCAGTTAAAGTTTTACATTTTTTAGCAGCAGCTATAAAATTATCTCTCAGGTAACGGGTGTGAAGTGACACAATGATGTTTTTGGTGTTTTTATTATTACGCTGAGGTACTCTTGCGACGTAGTTGATTTGCTCCTTAGGAACTTCGTAACCTATTTTACTACCAATATTGGAAATAATAGTAAAAAGATTTTCAGACGAGGTTACAGGAACGCCTTTGATCTCAATGTTGTTCAGGCGCGATCTTCGCTGATTTTCGCGTACAGCGGCCTCAAGCTTCTCCAATCGATGTTCAACACATACAACATCATCCTTCGTTTTTTGAAGAGGCTGAATTTCCCGATCGATCTCGGTCAGTTTGTTAGTGAGTCCCTCAACTGAAGTTTGCACATGGTTCAAGGAGTTTTTAAATTCCATCATTTCACTCTTCATAACCTTAAGATCTGAAAGGTCAGCCTGGATAGTCTTGACACTTGCAATTAACTGTGGTAATGACGATATTTGTTTGGTAATCTTACTAAGCTCAAGACGAATATTCTCCAGATCACCATGAGATGGTACCCTTCCTTGTACTGTTTTCTCAGAAGAAAGATTAGGACTCACAGTTCCTGTCTTACAGGTATTGCATTTCCAAGTAGCCTTTCTGTCCCCAAGTTTGCGATATCCTGCCTCTGTTATTCCTGCACATTGGAAATAGAAACGGTTGAGGCACATCGTCCACTGCACACGATCCCTGGCTTCACTATTACACTGGTGACACATTAACATGTTGGATAAGATATAGTTTGAGAAACTCTGACTACAAAAACAATAGCGATCGAATGGCAACAGCGCAATGCATATGTTTGTTGCGTTTACCGTCTACCGACCAACTGACTGTATATGTATGTATGTATTATTGTACGTATATTTATGATATATGTGTGTATATTTAAATGTATTGTGTATGTATGTACTTTGTACATATGTATATTTTAATGTATGTGTATGTATGTTCACTTATTTATGTATAATGGTCGCACGTGCCAACAATTGTCCTTGACACCCAGGGTTGACTGGCAGAGAATGCCACATGGCATTAAGTACGCCCTATGTACCCTTAAGCTTAAGGTGTTACATGTAAGTTTTTAAATAAATAAATAGCACGACTTAGGCTTCGATGTGTTTCGCTTGTGGCGCGACAGCGCTGCCACATCATCATTTGCACCGCCAGAATTACCAGCCTTTGTTGCTAGTAAATCTAGCCATGCTCTCTTCTTTGTTTCAACTTCCATACGTACCTCATCATCCCACCGTAACATACTACTTTTCCTTTCATTCGTTCTTTTACTAACACCACATACATCGGTATATGCATCCACTGAACCTTTCCTAACATTTTGCCATACATTCTCGTTAACTCATTCATACATAATTGTTTTTCTCACCCTCATCTTGTAACTTTTCTGTTCTAATTCTCTGCAACGCAGTGGTAAACACAGATGAACGCAAGTGTGAAGAACGCAGTGGTAAAGACATGTCCGATGGAGCCAACGTCTGAATAGACCATTGATTTGGCATAAAACCAAATAATGATCCGTTCCTACGTTTGACCTCCGGTAAACCCTTGTGTCTACAACTACGCTCACCTCTCTCCTAAGTATACATCATCACCTCTTTCCCAAGTATACGGTGATGAGGCTTTCACTATTCTCATTTATACTTTCATCACCAAACACTCCCAATATCATCACTTTCATAACCAAGCCTCTTCACCCCAACCCTTCCATTAAAATCTCCTAGCATAAAAATATTTTCATTTCCCTTACATTTCATTAACACCATCCTTACCATTTCCCAAAACTGCTCTCGGATATAAGTTGGCTTAGACTTGTCTGGGGCGTAAACCCCTAGCACAAACAACTTCTTTAAGCACACTTTCATTCATAGCCATACATAAATCGACGCTATACTGGTGATTCGTTCCAAAAGATTGGACAGTATATGACGTCATACTTTTGCGCCATTTAGAAAAGTGTTGGCGATTATTTTGTCATTTTGTGATCCAAAAATCATTATATCCTCCTAATGGATATACCAGCAATTATTCTATAATTTTTTGCATTTGAATAAATAGAAACAAATTCTGGCATGCTTCATTCAGCGCACACACAATAAAAAATTGTTTTATTGTGGCCGGATATCCGACGCAATATGGCGGCGTCACGCCAGTACAATATAGTGTCAATTGATGACGTCATTAGCATTTAACAGTGTACTGTGTTGTATTTCGGAACATACCCTAAATGTTCGAGTTGTTTGTTCGACACTCTATTTTCCATTTTATACTAAAAAGGCGATATTAATTACATTTAAATCAATATAAATGCGAAGTAGCAATCAAAATGATTACCGCTATTACTTACTTTTTGGTTTTAAAACACAAAGGACTGTTGGAAATCGAATAAAACAAACGCCACGCTTAACCTTTTTTTTAGCTGTTTACAAATTTGGATATATGAAATGTGTAAAAACTATAAAGATTCTTATTATGCAAAAATTCGTTTGCTAATCGTTCGCTAGGCACATAACTCATAACGCGACAACACTAGCGCCAATAGCAATTTGGTAGCGAGAACCACGGCGTTGACAGCTAGAACATTTTTTTAAAACTTAAGAGTTTGGAGGGCACTCTTAAATCAACACTTGGTGGCGCCACAGACTTCCTATTTTGACAAATGTCAGTTAAATGTTGACACTTGAAAGTAGCAATCTTTTTTTACAAATCGCTGTCGATTCGTAAGACTCGTACACGTTTCTGTATTTTTTTGGTTACTGCTCTACAAATTCACTAGCAACGTTGAGTTGAGCTTCAGTTCCTCCGTTATCTCGTCGAATCTTTGTGGTGCTGTTGATTCAGTGACTTATAAGAGACAGGACTCATTTTAGAGATAGAACTCATATTTTTTGGTGTTATTATCTACTAGTGCCGTAGGGTTAAATAATGCCTATTACCGTGTGTTGTGTCAACTCTTGTCTTGCCAAGGATATAGTAATGTTTTACTTTCCTCGAGACAAAAACATGCAAAGCCTTTAGCTTTCTTATGTCGCTCCTCATAGCCCTGAACTTCTTCAACTGTCATCGAAACAATTAGCCAAAAAGAAGATTTGTATCAGGCATTTCGAACATCAATATCTTGATGGCTTCACGAGGAAATACCACGGTTATCCTACTCTACTGACTGAAGAAGAAATAGCTTGTGGAGTACCCAGTAAGTACGAAAATATCTTTCCCATTTAGAGCCAAATTTAGAAATATATTTGATAAAGACTGAATTATACCCGAGGCAGTGGTTTAAATCATTTATCAATGCAATATTAACCATGAGAGTAGAGTTTGAAGAAAATATGATACTAAATATATTGCATGTTCTTATGCAAAATTTTTTTTTGGTTTTATAATCACTGTTTTAAAAGCTATCTTATATTACAAAATAGCTAAAGTGATATTTATTTCAGGTCAATCCATCACTGACTATTATGATCATACTTACTGTAAAAGAAGGCAAGGTATGGAAGAAGCAGCTCCTGAAATAATTAAAAAGCCAAAATATAGTAAAGAATACATGCTGGGTAAATATTTTTTTAATATTAGCTTGATATATATTATGTACACATCACACATATGTTTACCTTGAACAAATTGTCCGATTAAGTAAGTCCAACTTTAACCTAGACATCAATCAACGGATCCAACTCAGCTGGGCAGCGTGTGAAGATTATGACACATCTTGTCATATATACCTCAAAACTTGAAAACAAGATTATACAACCAGTGTATAATGCCATTGATAACATATGGATCTGAGATGTGGTCCTCTATGTAAAGGTCGTCTGGGAGAGATCACTTTCAGAGTGACAAGAACGCTTGTTGTTCATATTATACTTTAGATTGAACTCTACTCATTTTCCTCTAAAATAAAAATAAAGTTATAAAGTAATTATTTTAATTGCAGTTAATTTAGATAATTCACAAAATAATAAAAGAGAAAATACTGGAGAGACTTCTGTGTCAGATGACATCACCATGTTGTCAAAGCCATCAACTTCTCAGCAAAGTTATTACATCTCCATGTCGCCAAAACCATCAACTTCTCAGCAAAGTTATGATGTCCCCATTTCACCAAAGCCATCGACAATTCAACACAGTAAGTTTATTTTAAATTAATGTAATGTTAAATGTTTATACATAATTTCATACTTTATTTTCCACTATGATCACAAAATACCTGAGCATCATAGTGATCTTTCTTTATACCAGATTGTAAAATAAGAGTCATATTAATTGTAATTTAACATGTAGTTTCCTAGTGTTAATGTTTTTACATACATGTGTACTTTTTTATAGTCAAAAGTTAGAACAATGCCAACAGTTAAATAAAAATATTTATTTTATATGAACCATTTGTAATACTGATTACAATATCACTCATACATATTTTTTTCCAGGTGATAAAAACAAATGTATTAAGCTTGTAAAAAGTAGACCTCGACTTGTAAGCAATATTAACAACTTAACTCCAAGATGTCGAAGGTTGTACTTTAAGTGTAAAGATATGATTAAAAGAAAGAGATTGTTTACAAGTAATGAAGATAACAAACAAAACATTGCTCATGCAGAAATTCTTAGCAATACCAAAAGTTTTAGAAAATTAATAGAAAAGTTAGATTTCTTCCCAAAACAGTTTATAGCATTGCAGCTGAGGTTTGCTGGTAAAGCTTCAAAAGGAAGAAGGTATAATATTGATGAAAAATTAATGAGCATTGCGCTGTATAAACAGAGCCCTAAGGGGTATTCCCTTCTACAAAAATTATTCTCTTTACCAACCAAAAGAACTCTGAATAGAGTTTTACAAAATATTAAATTTGGAGAAGGTATAAATGAAAACTTTTTTGCAATTTTAAAACAAAAAATCAAAACATTGAGTAATGCAAAAAAACTGTGCAGCATTGTTTTTGATGAAGTTCAGTTATCTGCACATTTGAATTTTATTGCAAGCAATGATGAAATTGAGGGGTTTGTAAAAGCAGATGGGCCCCCAAAATTTGCTGACCATGCTTTGGTAGTGATGCTCAGAGGTATTTGTGCATCATGGCGACAACCAGTCGCTTACTATTTTTGCCAAGGAACTACACCAGCAGCTACTTTGAAACATATTTTAAAGGATATGGTTAAGATAGTAATCGAATCTGGATTAAAGCCTTTAGCCTTCATTTGTGACCAGGGAGCTACATCACAGCGTGCTCTTAAAGATCTTCAAGAAGAGACTAAGAGACACTGTTTTCAAAATAATATAAAATTTGGTAAGCTTAAAAAATAATATTAAATACATATAATATTTTTTTTTATAGGATAGGGTGACAAACGAGCACACAGTCCACCTGAAGGTAAGTGGCTACTGTGGCCCATAGACATCTACATTTATCCTTATTTGTGAATCAAAATGCAGATGCGTTGTCACCCGTGAGGACTAAGATGGAATGCCTCTTTTCCAGTAAAAAGGGTCTCCGGTTCTCTACACTCACCATACGAAACACAGCAGTGTTAAGCTGCTATTTTACGCTGGTATTTTGTGAGAGCGTGGTCCTTCCCCGGTCGAGCCAACCCATTCGTGCTACAACTATACTACTAATATAACTGCAGCATGGCTCTACCACATATAATAATATACCTAGTATTATGTCGATTCCTACTTTAAAATGGGTTAAATTAAACTTTTGAGCACTGAAGGTTTTGGTTTTGAGACCAAAGGTTCTGAAAACATTTTAATGAGTGGAAGCTAAAATGCACAACTCCTATAAAGTTTTCGAGTTGAGCACTTCACCTATTTTTCTCTCTCTAAAATTATAAACCTTGTAAAAATAATATCCCATCATTGTAATGAAATATTTTTTTATAGATGGTAGTATCCTAATTGGGGGAAGTAACTTAAGTGTGATCTATGATCCTCCACACTTAATAAAAGGCCTACGCAACAACATGTTGAATAAGAATTTAATTTTTGAGGGAAAATCAACAAAATGGGAAGACATTGTAGATGTTTATAACTATGACTGTAAATTAGGAAATATAAGAATGCTCCCAAAATTGTCAGATGAGCATGTTATACCAGAAAAAATAAAGAAGATGAAAGTTAAGAACTGCACTCAAGTCTTCAGTGAACGCGTAGCTGCCACAATGCAGTATACAGCAACTTTTTGTAAGTTAACTACTGCCTATTTTTTCAATAAGGATAACTATTCATATTTTAACTACGGTAGTCTATTAAAGTGTTTTTGACGAGTTCATCACACACAGTCCACCTGATGGTAAGTGGTTTCTGTGGCCCATAGACATCTACATTTATCCTCGATTACAAATCAAAATGCAGATGCGTTGTCACCCGTGAGGACTAAGATGGAATGGCTTGTTTCCAGTAAGAAGGGTCTCCGGTTCTCTACACTCACCATACGAAACACAGCAGCATTAAGCTGCTATTTTACGCTGGTATTCTGTGTCCTTCCCCAGTCGAGCCGACCCATTCGTGTTACAACTATACCAGAAATATAGCTGCAGCATGGCTCTACCACGTATAAAAGGTAAAAAGGTGGTTTTCTAGTTTTCTATATGCTAGAGTTGCATCAAGAATTTCATCCTTTAAACAAATCAAATACTTTATTTGCTATTGGTGTAAAGGTTTTAGGATAGTTATATTATGTACTTGCAACTAAATGGACTTTATCAGGCATTCTAAACTTAAGGGAATTGTATTAGACAAGATATAAGTAGAAAACAAATTCTTTGTACAACTATTTAAATATAATATAGTTAAATAAAAAAAAATTAAAATGTCACAGAGTAAAGTTCTACTTAACTTAATAAAATAATGTCAATGGGATTCTCAAATATTACTAGATTAAAATATATTAATAAATATAACTAAATTTAAATTAATATTTTCTATCATTTCATAAAACAAATGTCATAATGTAAAATTTTAATTTAATACAATCATAATGTCAACAAACTTAATATTCACCCACAGAATAGAAACATTTTTGAAGGAGAAAGGTTTCAGTTTTTTATTAAATAGTTTTGCTTTTCTGTGTGTTTATTTGTACCAAGAAATTACATATTATGGATCTTAAAGTTGTCTTTTGATGAAATGTACTCTGCTACGATAAATTAATAAATGATCTTAATTGATGTCCATTTGCTGGATGATTATTTAATCTATGAATATGTTTTTAATTATTGACAAACAAGTGCACAGCTCATCTGATAGTAAGTGGATAGATAAGTTGTAATTCATAAAGATAATAAGTGTCCAGCAGGCCTTATTATATTAGTAGGTATTTACAAATTATTTTATTATTTTTATGCTTGATGCTGATATATTGTTTGTAGACAATCCTTGAAATTGTGAGTTTCTTATACTTTGGTCAATGTATAACATTATGGGCTACCATGTTAAAAGCGATTAATGGAATATTGGGTTTGTGATTGTGTACGCGTAAAGCTAACTTTATGTCCTTTTTTAATTTCCTATGTCACATCCACAACTAAGACAAATATCTGATGATACCCAAATGTTAAAATCCATCAAGCTGTTTGGGCTACAGTATGATCCCATCAATGCCCATCATATTGTTTATCATATAACTTTTGATAGTTTAGTTTTTACTTCTTCTCTGTGAGATTTGCAGTCTATGAATGTGTGTTTGTGGCAATTTAAATAACTCAACTGTCTCTAAAGATGAACTTTGGGGTTTAATGTTCATTTGGAGTTGGAAAGATTTAAATAAAATGTAAATTGATTTTTCTTGTTTAGTTATTATTAATTTCATAAAAAATTATTTTGTAATAAACATGAGTAAAGATTGCCTGTTACATGTAAGTAAAAATACATCATGTAAAAGTAATTCTAATTTCATGTTTTTTGTTCCAGCTCAGCGACATGACGGAACACAAATCAGTGAAACAACAAAAAATACAGCTGCAGCAGTTGCTTTCTTTGACCAATTGTTCGACAGTTGCAATGGTTCGAGGTCTGGTAGGGCTCCAGGAAAAATACGAGGTCCAGTCAAACTGAATAGTGCCCACAAAGCATTTTGGATTGAAGCCATTAAGAAGTTTAAAAAAAATGCATTTCATTCCAAAAAATTCTTTAGAAAAAGCTACAATAAAAAATGTACCAACATTAAACAATTGGGTTACAACACTAGAAAGCCTAATAAGAGTAAGTGAAATAATGCAATCGGAGGGGGGTCAGTTTCTTTTACACGAGAAACCTAAATCAAGACCCCCTTGAAAATTTCTTTGGCAAAATAAGAGCATATAATTATAGATATACCAACCCCGATACATTTTCGTTCCGAAACTCTTTTAAGTCATTATTAATGACGGACATGCTGGCCATCCACACAAAAAATTTTAATTGTGAAGATGATATGGGGGAGACCATATTAAACATAACAACTTTATTGAATGAGGAATTTGCTTCAGATGAACAACCAGTTCCCGATAGTAATGATAATAGAAACCTTAGTTGTTCATCTGAAGTAAATTTATCAGGAAATATGGTCTCCTCCATATTTGAAGAAAAAAATAAATGTAAATGCGAGGAGTTACACTTCAGGATATATTATAAGAAAACTGTGTCAAAATAAATGTAAAAATTGCAAAAAAACATTTTTAAATAATGAGGATCAGCAGCTTAGTGTCCATGATTTAATTAGACACAGAGAACGAAAGCACCTTAAAGGGAAAAATCTTATGTACCCTAGTACAAGATTTATTGTAGCATTTTCAAAATTAGTTGATTTAAGTAATGTGGTATTAAATAATACTTGCCACAAAGGAAATATTATTAAAAATATATCCGAAAAATTTATTACTCAAAATAATTTGGAATGGATAGGCTGCCAAGAGCACCATGACAAAATCAAAAAAAAAATTTTTACTTCTTGGGGCTAAAATCCAAGTATTTCACTGGTGCCGAACAATAAACAGAATATTGAATGGATCGCATTGTGTAATTAATTTTAACGATGCACCATATATTCAAAAAATAGCACATATAAAATGGTTAAAACAAAGAAAATATAAAAAATGAAACTTGCAAATATGTTTTTTTTTTAATTCCTTTCCCTTATTAATATAACTAATAAAGAATAATGAAAATAAAAGAAATCGATAAACTCAATTCACATCCCTATCGCTGCAAAATCTATCGATATCATGGATAATCTATACACCCCAACACTAACAAGGTAGCCATCTAGCGGGAAAAAGCTTGCCCTCCAAACTCGCTACGGCGACGTACTGTCCTATCTGTCTTGTACATACAACTTTATAATTTGTGGCGAGAACTGCTAGCTTGCTACATATTTATTTATCTATGAACTGCACAGAGTACATTATATATACCCGGAATAGAGTTGCAAGTCGATTCCGTGGTACAGACATCTATAGCGGAGTTGTCGAACGAAACAGACGATATATCTATCTATAAATATATTCTGTATATAGTACAGCCCTTAACCAATATAATTTATATTGAAATATATACCCTGTATATATATTTATAATATTTCAATATTTATCTACTATGTTCCACTTGGCACGAACATTTGATGTTCCCTGGTCACATACAGTAGCAAGGATTTTAAAGCCAGACCCCTTCAATTTTCTTATATTTCTCTTAATCATTAAGGCTAATTCAGCTTTTTTTGTACTGCAAGCACAAAATGAATATAATATCGGCTGTTTATAGTTTTTAGAATACCTCTATTCTAATTTCAGTCCTCACTACATCACCATTATCAACTAAACCAGTAATCCTGTCATTTTTCCTGTCATAACCAATATGTGGTGTTAAGGCCATTTCATCAAAAACCAGTGTACACAATTTATCATTGGCTTTCATTTAAGATAGATGCTTGCTTCTTAAGCTGGTAAAATATGTGTTCATACCAGGCTTAATATTGGCATTAGATACCATCCTGCTTAAGGTGAAAGGTGATGGCAGAACAAATATCTTTTGCAGCATCCTGTAGACTTTTGGTATATGTTAAAAAAATGTAATTCCATCACTTTTTCATCAGGTGTGAATTGTCTGTCCCTTTTGTGTTTACCACATTCTCGAAATTGTAGCAACGTAAAAACTGTTGCCATTGAGGTAAAACTTTTAAATCCTTTCAAGAAAGTAGTATTTTCTAATAAATTCATTTTCTTCTTCAGTCTTTTTGTTCTTTCTTCATACTTTCTTATTTCTCAGTTGCTATATTCAAGCTTTTAAGTTTCTTTTTTAACATTGTAATTCTTATACTAATTTGAGTCCTTTTGGGCTTAGTCATCTTCAAGCCTAAAATTAAAATGACAAAACATTATATTTATATAGACCTAGAAAATTTGTACTATAGTTTAGTAAAAATAAATCTCATTAATACTGGAAAAGATCTTTAGATCACTATATATTTGTTATTACAACATAAACTCATGTTTCTTCCCAGTTGTACTCTGAGCAAATTTAATATTTATAAACTGGTGTAGATTTTGATATTCATATGAGGTTTAAACAAGCCTTAATTTATAAGCTTTTTTTATCAATTGAATCAAACCGTTAATAAGAAATAACAAACTTTTTATAAAATTGATTTGCATGTCATACATAATATTTTGTCAACATGGAAGTTGAAAATTAGTATTGCAGAACATAGTTATGATTCAAAATTTATACATTCAATTATTCATGTTTGATAGTAAAATTAATTATTTGAGGAACAAACTTCCATATTAACTTTAACATTCATAATATTAAGAATAGATCATTACAATGTTAATGCAAATTTTTACTAACCTTTCATATGCAATGCTGGTATTGCAATATTACTTAACATTTTACTCCGGTCCAGTACTTGGATTCAAAAGGTGTATGACAAATTCTTCGGTACTTAAACACATACATATCATCTAAGCACAGAAAGTTACCACCAACTGCTTGAACCCGTGTACAAAAGCGTGTTGGATCTTTTGTAGAATTTGGAAATTTGTGAAGTATAAAGCCATCTTCACCTACAAAAACATATATTTTAGAAGCGTTTTTGAAAAGTGTAATGACAGTAGTATAAGTAGTAGTGTTATAAGTATACATAGCAAGGTATTGGCTCTAAGGGTGGAAAAGTGATGCAGAACTCTTGGGCTACCTGCGTCTGCGCTAGGAATCACATTGTTGCCCAAGGTGACACTGACTTATATATAGAATAGAAAGAAAAAAATAATATATTGACTGGTAAAGGTACGACTTTCCATTGACGTCCATCGAATTGAGGGAGGAGGAGGAGGAGGAGGAGGAGGAGGAATACCCCCCCTTTAAAAGGAAAAGTTGCGGAGCCCCCCCCCCTTTTCGAGTTTTTTCATTTTTAATTCTGAGAAAATTTTCCTCATTTTATGGATTAATATTAAGTGTAAAAAACCAGGAGGACACCTTGGGGGAGGGGGGTTCCCCCCAACGGAAGGGGGAACCCCTTTCATCAGATAAAAAATAGGGGGACTGATTGAGAGGGATTTCTGTGTCTATTTTGAGACTGAACCGAAGAACCGAATTGGTTGATCCCGACTCCACTTGGTACAAGTCTGTCCTACCCCTAGAGTGTTATTATAGAGTCGGAGGCGCTGCGGGAAGAGCAGCCTCTTCGCCTTTGCGTAACAAATCGCAGGCATCCATCCTCGCCGGGATCAACCAATTCGGTTCTTCGACATAAGTTAAACCTAACCTATTTTATTTACTTACTTTTAAAATAAATCAAACAAAATTCATAATTTATTAATCAATTTTATATACATATTGTATTGCTTTAATTAATTCTATGAAAACATCTTTATGTGCTATTTTTATTTTTCTTCGCCAAGAATATTCAATTAGCCAGTCTGTAAAGTTTGTTTTATAACTTTCTCTACCGAACATCACTTTTAAATTTCGCCAGTGGCTTTCTATTTGTTGTGTGTGTGTCCCATCTGGTGCCACAAATTTATTTATAGGGTCGCTGTAATTAACTTTTTTATGTATATATCCATATTGAGGTAGGCAATCGTAGGCTCTCCAAAAATCGGTATGGATTTCAGTGCCTACCTCCACATGCTTTTGTATTAGTGGCACCAACATTTCCGCAGATCTATCATTGTCGGGACACACTTCTAATCTCAAATCATCTTTCCCATTTTCTATCATGCCCAGCACCCAATGGCCTTCAATGTGTCTCCCTCTGTTGTACTTGCGTTTTCCAAATTTTGATTCGTCTATTTGCACGATTTTGCCTGGACCACCAATCTTGCCATTAACTTCTTGGTGCTCCAATTCATAAACTACTACTGTCTCTCGGCAGTAAGAAAACCAGTCAGTTATTGTCCTTGTTGATAAAATTGTTTCTTTATCTTCACGGGCTGTCTCTAATTTAACTTGATGATAACTATATTTTTGGCTGAACATATAAATCAGTAAAAATTGTAACTCAATGGACAGCCGCGCATTCTCGAACCATGTTCCCGCTGCCCGACTCACTGCCTTAGAGCGACAGTTACTCTTCCTGCATCGAAATATGCCAAGCTGACCAGTCTTACTGCTGGAGCTTAACGCCATAGGTCTCCTATGATATGAGCACATTTTTTCTGTAGGAAGGAGCCTATGCTCTTCAGCAAATGCAATGCACTGAGCTGGGGTGTTGAGCCGGGTTATGATTTTATACATGTTCCAGTGGCACCTAAAACAAACAAAAATATTCCTATTAGAAATCTAATTACTGCTTTACTCGTCAGCTTTTTCTGTGAAGTTTACATATGTGCTATATAAGAAACCACGGGTAAGGTTTACAATTCGGTCGCCTGAATTAGGGGGTGGTGTGGGGCGAGGGAGAAGAGTTGTAGAGTCACCCCCTACATCCCCTTCCTGCCGGACGTGCTTAGTTTTTTTTTTATAAATTTTTAAAAATCTCATTTTGAGGTTATGTTTCGTAATTTTTATGACAATTTAACCTGATTTATGGGGAGAGAGAGTTAGGGGACGGAAGCCCCACGCCACTTAACGAGGTGCAGTAGAGGGAAGCCCAGTCGACGGAGCCCCGCTTCGCGGGGCTCCTGCTTCTGAGTGGTTTACAAAAAAATAACCACGAAGGAGATGATATGTCTATTCGCTCGCTTCGCTCGCTCACTCGACCCCGTCATCTCCTTCTAACCTAACCTGTCCGAGTCGGGGTGCCCCACGTCCTAGGCTCGCTGCTCGCTATTGCACCCAATATAACACTAAAATATTAACTTTTATAACTACTTTAATTTATAAACATAATTTATGGCTGCCACTATTTGTAAGAAAGGATCTTTGCGATATTTAGCAGTGAACCAACCTTATTTCCTCGGCATAGTAGTGGACTCTTCGACCAGACGAACCAGGAGCTTGAGGTTCCGCATCAGCCACGCTGCTCTCAGACGACGTTGGAGACGCAGGCGGCAGTACCGACACGGTACTGGGAACAGTGGCGCGGGAACTACCAGCTATTGATTTCGATAGCACAGTCATGGGCACAAGTGGCTCACTAGAGTCCAACACTTGCACACAGGGGGCGCCTGCAGAAGAGCTCGTGACAAGTGGCTCATCAGAGTCCAACACTTTCAC